AGAGCATAAGGATTGTTTATGTATCTGAGAAAACTGCCTGAAGTTAAATTGTGAGAGCACTCTCCTTCCCATGTCTCCCTTTTCTGTGATGAACTTACGAAGCTGGAGCACAGAACATACAAGAGAAGGCTGGGAGAAAAGGGTTTATTCAGCCTTAAAATGAGATTGCTCGGGGGAGACCTTATTGCTTCCTATCTAACGGGAAGGTACAACGAAGACTGAGCCAAACTTTCCTCAAAGGCGCATGATCAAAGGACAAGAGACAACAGACACAGGATGCAACACTGGAAATATTAACTAGACAAAAGGATTTTTCATTTCCCCCTCCCCTCCCCCCCCCGCCAAGTGGGTCAAATACTGGAACAGGCTTCACAGAGGCTATGAAATCCCCCTCCTTGGAGATACCCTAAACTCAACAGGACAAATCCCTGTGCAACCTGATTGGGCTGAATCTCTGAGCATGGGCCTGGATCTGTAAGCTGGGGGTTGGTCTAGGTGGCCTTCAGATGTCCCTTCCAATGCATTATTCTGTAATTGCACACCACAACAGTGGTACTGTTGTCTCTAACATGAAACCAAGCCAAAATTCTTCGCTCAGAAAAAGTGATGCTATTTTATGCTGTTACACAAGGATTTTCTGATATTGTCTGTCTACCTTCCATTTAAGCAAGTCCTTTTCTTTTAGAGATTAGTCAATTTTAATGCAATAAACTTTGAATCTTTCTTGCTCAGCAGCCTGCGTGAGTACAGAAGACTGTAAAACCACAGTAGATAATACAAAGGAACACCTAAAAGAATGCTTGTCTAGGAGAAAACTGCAATTCTCCTGCTTTTCTTTCTAAGTCTTCTATCTAGTTACGCTTTTTGGTGGACTGTTTTTGAAACTTAATTGCAGCCAGATGCTATGAAGCAAAAATGCCTGCTATTTAATTGCAACTGTTAGCACAAACTGATAAGAGGATTTGAGCAGACTCAGCTGTATTCATTAGCCTATTTTAGCTATTTTCTTACTTCTCTGCCATGGAGAGTTTATTAATCTGCTGTTTGTAGTTGCTGGCTATTTCATTTTGCACACGTTGAACAAGCTCCTCATCAATGGCATACTGTATTGCTGTCTGGATGACATCCAACCACCACGGAGAACCTGAATGTATCTGTATGCAAAAGAACAGATTTATCCATGAACATTCAACAAACAACCAATTTACTCATTGCAGCAGAGGCTTATACTGCTCTCTAGGCCACACTCAAACACAGACTGGTAAATTCCATGGAAAGTGGAAGATGAGAGTATGCTTAAAAAATATCCCCTTTCCTGTTTAAGTGAATACATGATCAAGAAATTTTCTACATTCCCATCTACTTCCACACCTTCAAATTGCTTCAGTAGAGTTAGATTCACCGAGGCCATCTACACAGAATAGCCACATAGAGATACTGTAATCTTGAAGTTTCCTCTTTCTCTTTCTCTCTTAAAAAGAGATGAAAGGATCATTTAATCAGAGAAAGCAAGCTCTCTGTGAAATGAATAAAGAGCAACACTGAAGTGACCTTATAATTTTAAACAGTGAAAGATGCAGAAGTTTACTTCCTCATGCGCCATTTGACCCCATTTCTTTATTATTTCTTCACTATTACGCAAGTGACAAGCAGCATTTCACTTCAGGTGTTCATCAATTCATTAAGGGCTTGCACCTTCCCATGAAACCTGAATTGTCATACTGACTAAACACAATTAAGCCTTAAGCACAATGACCAAATGCATGTCAAAGAATAGTTCCTTTGAAAGTAACTGAAATACCATCTGATACATCACAGAAATGTTTCAAAGCCAAAACCTATAACTTATTTACCTAAATTACAAGTGAAACAGTTAATACAAAAATCAAGCATGGTGTTAAACTTTACTGGAATCATCCCACCATGTACTTCTGATTCTAGTCATCTGTTCATCAAGTACTGCGTGCCTCTTTATGCAAGGAACACAGGATATGTTTTGGGGCTCTGTGTGTGTGCGTGTGCACACATGCTGCCGAAGTCCCATTCCAAATAGGTGTTCAAAGAACTGTTAGAGATAATAAACAGCTGGAGTTCTGGATAAACACATGAAAACAATATTAAAAACAAATTTCAAAATTCAGAGACTACATATGTAAGAGGCACCTGCCTTTCTCTGGAGCTCCCGAATGGTCTGAATAACTGGCTGTAAGGCCTGATGGGCTTCGGCAACTTCTGCATTGGATTTACTCATATAATGCTGTCGAAGTTGTTCTGCCTATATGGAAATGAGAGCTTAAGTTATGCACAACTCATATTTATGAGGAATAATTGAAAATGCAAAAACTCCCCAGCTACCATAGTGTTTTAAAATGGTTAGCTACCTACGGGCTACCCACTTTCATTCGTAAGCTGTATTTAGCATTTTTTCCTCTATAATCTAGCATTTATTTAGTAAGCCCAAAAAATATTTGAGAACACAAACTACTACAAAGATGCTAACCATGCAATTTTGCTTTTGGACAAGCCCAAACAACACAATAGGAATACATTGCATTACAAAAAGGAACTGGAATTTAACTTATAATTCTTACTTCTTTGTACATTAAAATATATTGTGTTGAATAAGTAAACAATAAAAAGATCCTAGAACAATCTGAGAACAGGACAATTTAACTTACTTACATATAAAACTTACCTATAAAATAAGAAGAAAGGTTTAAATTTCATTGTTTTTAGGTGTATCAGATACAACTTTTCAATAAAAATTGCTTCTGACAGTGAAAACCCCTCTTGGTATGCAGGTGTCTCCACAATATAATCAGTACCAGTTTACTTGATATTTTAAAAACTGATGAACAAATAATTTGTATTTCTTACAAGTAACATGTACACACACACACATATCTTTCACCATTACATTCTGATTTCACTAGATATCTTTATTTTGTGCATTTTAGGGTGTGTTTTAAGTCCTCCTTCTTTTTGTTTGCTACTATCAAGATAATTATATTATTGTGCTGGTTTTGGTTGGGATAGAGTTAATTTTCTTCATAGTAGCTAGTACGGGGCTGTGTTTTGGATTTGTGCTGAAAACAGTGTTGATAACACAGGGATGTTTTAGTTACTGCTGAGCAGTGCTTACACAGAGCCAAGGCCTTTTCTGCCTCTCACACCACCCCACCAGCGAGGAGGCTGGAGGTGCACAAGAAGTTGGGAGGGCACACAGCCAGGACAGCTGACCCCAAGTAGGGACTATTCCTTGCCGTATGACATATATGATGTATATGCTCAGCCTATACAGCTGGGGGAAGAAGGAAGGGTGGAATGTTCGGAGTGATGGCGTTTCTCTTCCCAAGTAACCGTTACGCGTGATGGAGCCCTGCTTTCCTGGAGATGGCTGAACTCCTGCCTACCGATGGGAAATAGTGAATGAATTCCTTGTTTTGCTTTGCTTGTGCGTGTGGCTTTTGCTTTACTTATTAAACTGTCTTTATCTCAACCCACGAGTTTTCTCACTTTTACTCTTCTGATTCTCTCCCCCATCCCACTGTGGGGGAGTGAGCAAGCAGCTGCGTGGTGCTTAGTTGCCAGCTGGGGTTAAACTACGACAATTACTCTTACAGATGGAGCTCAGTTTACCAGGAGCGGACAGGACTCTCAGGTATTTGGATGAGCTACTGGCAAAAAATAGCTACGAAAAACAATGTCTGCTTCACATTTATAAGCAAAACACAAATTTTCCGATCCTCCTCTTTACAATAATGTCAGGAGACTAATCACCACCATATAACTGGAGAGGATGAAAGAACTGGGCTTGTTCAGCTTGGGGAAGAAAGGCTTAGAGGGTACAAAATAGCAGCAGCCAGATGGAAGTCACTGAGAAGAGGGAGCCAGGCACTTTACTGAAGTAGATGGCAAGTGAACAAGGGACAATGGCTGTAAGTTGGAATGGGAGGTTCTCTGTGAATTTTTTTTCTCCCTCCACTATTAGGATTATGAAGCATTGGAACAGGTTGCTCAGATAAGTTGTGAAATCTCTTTCCTTGGAGGTTTTAATGGCCCAATTGGATAAAGTCCTCAGCTACCTGGTCAGAAATCAGTGTTGACCCTGCTCTGAGGAGGAAGTTCAGCTAGAGACCTCCCAAGGTCCCTTCCAACCCAAATAATGCCACAATAATGATGTTCTTCTGCAAATGTGGTCCATATGTCCTCTACAAGTAACCAGTGGGGAACAGTGATACTGCTATCTTACCAGATATTTCCCCAGTTAAGATTAAGGATATAGTTAAACAGACTTATGCACACAGGAAGTAACATGCAGTGACTTGCTTATCTGGCCAAAGATGGTCAACCTTTCTAGATGTTTAGGCAGTACAAGAGTGACAGGGATGAACTAGTTGCTGTACGGCACGTGAGTACAATATAAGTAACACAGGGAGAGCCTGGACAGACGCCACTGGCAAACTTTAGGCTATGAAGAACACCACAAATCAGGACCTTCTCAAGAAGGTTTCAAAGGAGGTATATCAGTACCACACATAGGACCAAAAAGAGAGGTAGGAAAACAGCTTTGAGGCATGATTGAGAAGATGCATTAGACAGTAGTAGCTTGTATTTTACTAGGAGATGGGGAAGCATTTTGGAATGGAGGGCACCTATACAAGAAAAATAAACTTCACGTAGAGAAGACTGATTATCTGCAGTTAAAATGAGAAAAGCTAAAGAAAAAGTGAGGAAATAAAGGACTCAGAAGAATTCAGGATGATGCATTCTTTATCAGCAACGTTTATGTAAGTTATCTCTGCAAGAACATTGTAGAAGTGGGGAAATCACATTTCGGAGATAAAAACTTTTAAAACTTCCATAAAACACACTCACAACGTAACAGAGATCACCAAGCATTCAGAACAGCAGCATTTTACTGGACATTTCTGCTCTCATCTCACACAGTAAACAACTCCTGATTTTACTAACCTGAAAGGAAATGTACGTAGTTAACTTGAAAGCTATTTAATGTTATTTCTTTAGTTAGAGAAAATTTTGAAGGACAAAAAATAAAAAGGTGCTCTTCAAAATGTATTTATATAAAAAGGAACAATGTTTACCTCTTCTGCAAGTCGGCTATCACGCAAAGTTGGGGGAATTCCTGGGTGCTTTGCCAACAACAATTCCATCAAATTGTGTGTAGAATGAAGTCTCTAAATATACAGTCAGCAGCAATCATGAAAAAATACATTGCAACATCTGTGACAGGAAAAGCTTAAACAGCAATGAAAGCTTACAGCAAGAAATTAGTATTAATTTAAAACTGGTTTTATTTTTTTTCTCTGTTAATCTGGAAGCATCTTATAAAGAAAATAAACATTCTTTTCCTCATTTTACTGAGGTAAGAAGTGAAACATTAAAAAGACCTTCTTCATTTTTTTTGGAAAGTCTGATACCAAGTCATCAGATTCTGTCCCGTACTCACCCTCCTAATTAAAACAGCCCTTGACTACCATGGAAAACAAGTTATTTATCTCAGAGGACATTCTTTTGTAAATACCTTTCAGAATACTATAAGGAGACAATTCACTCAGCCTATCTAAAGCAAAATAAAATATAAGGAAAAAAGCAGCTCCCAAGAGCTTAAATCATTTTTCATATTTTTCACTTTTCTGAAATAAAAGATGACTGAATAAAACATGACCTTTTTGCTTACATTTAGGGAAAATAAACTTGATTGTTAATATAAGGCCACTCTATTCCTCTTCCCTAGGTTCACCCTACGTATCCCAAACTAGACCCCTAATGTTATGCTGCCTGCGTATCTCCCACAAACTCATACTATTAACTTTCACTATCATGAACTTGTGCCCTCCTCCTGGATCCACTTCACCTTTGCCCTATTACTATCTCAGCCACTGAAGAGCACTGGCCAGCAGTGGTTTACCATTATCTTAAAGAGCTAAGTCTACACAACTGGGAAGTACTCAACAGAAGTTGAGTTTTATTACACAAAAGTAGTATTAGGCAGTGTACATTTTGAGGGGGAAAAAAAAAAGCTTTATTGGATTGCATAATCCAGTAAAACAGCTTAATTAAGAATCTTGTTATGAGTAGCTTAACAAGTTTATGCTGATATGGCAATGCTAAGTGAAAAATGCCTCTGGGAAGTCACAAAGGAGAAGGAAGGATCAAAGAAGCACAACGGAGCCATCAGATGACCACATGCAAGATAAACAAAGAATAACTTACTTAGTGAAGCAAGCAAAGTAAAGCAATAGACAACTGATCACTTCTTATTTACCTGTCATTAACATTTTAAATACCTTGTTACCCTTAAGAGAATTTCGGTCAATTTAGAACTGATATTTCTTGAAGAAATATAAAGATGTTACTTACAGAACCATTACTTTTTTTCTCGGGAAAATATATTCATATTTTTAATATAGTATTCAAAATGTATTAATATATTTCCTGAAGAGAAAATTCACTTTGATTTTTTTTCATGTTTTGATGCCCTTTTGGAGAATATCTTCCACAGTGCAACAATTTTATTATTCTCTATCATTTGGCACGTTAATATCATTCTCAATGCAAACCCAGCACCCAGTATTCCCAGGATGTAATATAGTACCATTAATGTGAGCAGTCACAGTCAAGTACACAAGGAATTCAGCATGTTAAGTTTATTGCAGAACAGCAGGTGGAGATCATACACTGCTTCTGGGATATCATGAAGACTCACAAGCAAAAGTTTTTAGAACTACAGTAGCTTTTTTAAAAAAAAAGAAACATGAAGGTCACTGGACAGGTTCCTATCCAAAGATTGTGATAACGACAGCAGGCTGAAAGAGTCATTCAGCACACCACTGGGAGGAAGAAAAGACTGATCTGTTAAATTAAATCTAAAGTATTCCAGTTCTTAACTACGTCTCTACATTTGAATGCTCACTCACTTGCAAAGAATCTGTTTTGAGCTTTTCTTTGTGCTCTTCAGATGATCGTAACACTTCTCGGTACAGCTCTGCAGCCAATGCATATTCTCCTGAATTAAAAAAGAGTAACAAAAACATACACATATTGTGTTGGTTTTTAAATATACAAACAGCCATGACTGGCAATCACTTGTTACATACTAAGATGTTTTCAGAAGCTGTATAATACCTGCTTGTCTTGAAGCAAATCTTCCCTGTTCACTCCCCCCCGCCAAAAAAACCCCTACCTGGTAAAAGACGGAGTATCATATTTTACAAAGACTAAAGCAGTTTTCAAATTAAATATCTTTTGTGACTGCAAGATCTATAGACAACTTGATCTTAAAATATGTATTCACAGCTGCATTAAGTCCAAAAAATCTTACATGTTGCACTAAAAAACCACCATCTATAACTCACTGCAGTGATGCATTACTGAATTCGCACTGCAAATACGTTATTCACTCTTCCAGTCAAAACAATGAAAGTTGTGTTATACTTCAGAAATGCTGAAACGATTAAATACATGCAGGGAGCATAACTACTGATGTAAGCTGCTAACATCACAATCGCTTCTCAGAAAATCGATTATATAAATTAAAAAAGAAATATAAAATTGAAGTTGCATATGGAAAAGCAGCAAAAAAAAAAAATCAAATTTTATTTTCTTTTCTCGACTGACGGAAATTTACTTAGCCAGTAATAGTCTTTGAAGACTCTTAAAACTTGGAGAAGTACAGGGACATGAAAGGTATAAAGATAGATAACAGAGTAAAACAAAAATAATCTTCCTACATATCAACAAGATTTGTTGCTTCTTACATTGAAACAGTTGTCAGTTGTAAGGGTGTAGTCCTGCAATATACTATTGCCACTACTAGTAACAGGCCAAAAGCTATGTGTTGAATTTGCAAGGCCTCAAGGTTGAGGCTTGTCAGGCCTCCTTTGAATTTTTATTGACCTGCCTGCACCTTTTACTTGGCTTAGCTGTGACAGCAATTTCTCTAATTCACTAGGTGTCTATGGCTAATTTTTATTTATTTATTTATTTTTACTTTTGTTTATCTTTGTGTGGTACAATCACAGCTTTATATAGACAGCAGTAACAAGCAGTTATTCTATGTAGAATGAGATATTTACAACTAGCACAATGACGTAGTGTAGAGAAATACAGGCCTAGTAGCAATAGCAGAGGCCTTGAAAAGTAAAGATATAGGATGCAGTGTAGAGGAGTACAGCCATGGGATGCTAAGAGATGGTGCACAGGCTTGGCAGTGAATAAGGAAGCCATGGCTATAAACAACTCACCCACAGTCAAAGAAATGCAGACCTAGAGCTGGACAAAACTGGTTTTAGGGGCAACAAAGAGAACAAAGAAACAGTATGTAACATTCATAAAAGGCATCATGTACACTAAATTTGGTGTTAACGTGGAGCTGCGGACCAATGAAGAAAGAGTAAGGTGTAAAAGTGTGCTAGTAAACATACAAATGACCCTAATCGGATCCTTGAGTGAGAAAGAAGAAACCATCAACACAAACATCTTATTCCTCCTGAAGAAGAACTCCAGGTGGTGACAACTATCCATAGCACTGTCACCACCAGTATGAAACCATTGACCTCAGGACCCCGCAGGGCAGTAGAAAGGTGAACTTAAAAGCAGGACAAGCAGTAGAAACAAGTAAGTGCGATTATTATTGTTTTTTCACCTGTAACAATTAAATCTGGACTAATAACAATTAGACCTATAACATTTCAGTTATACTAACAATAAATTCATGGCTTTACATATATAAGGTGCGATTCCTCCTTGCTGATAAAGAAGGCTAAGTGTAACAGTAATGCTGGGGGTGGGGGGGAAGTTATAGACCAGAATTCTGCCTCAGTCCAGCTTTTGTTTCTCACAAGACGCATTTTTCATCAATCTGCTTTTCAAAAAGGGCCAAACTTACTTCTAAAATACAGTAGTAGCAAAAATTATGTCACCTGTACAGAAATCTTTTTAAGCACTTAATTCTATTTGAAAAATTTGATAGCCATTCTGAAATCATAACAAAGTATTTCAAACCTACTAACTACAGACTAGGGAATCTGAATGTAGTCTTTCTGTAAGGCAAGTAACAGAACAGGCAGTTTGCTTGTTCTCCTCTTTGAAGGAAGACTTTAACATGAGCTGGAAAACTTCAAGCAGCTTGTCAACTTTAGAAGACCTGTTGCTTGGCAAAGAGGCATTTCATTCACATTCATTACTATATTATTTTAATTTATTATTATTTTGTTTAGTGGGACATTCAAGATTAATATAATTATTTTTGTTTCCCATTCAAAGATTTTTTTCCTCCTAATTCAGACAAAATCTACATTGACAGAGCTGTATAGCAGGCAGCAGCAGACAGATTTCACAGTCAGCATAGCAGTTTGCATGGCAGGGAGCACAAAGGAAGCCCAGAAAGCAGTACTGATAGAACAAAAGCAGGTTAAGAATAATTATACAAGTATGACTTCTTTATCCTCCCAGTACACATAGATGGTAGAATCAAGAAAGAATATAAAACAAAAAACCAGAAATACTCTAGGACATCTCTAAGATGCACCAAACTACACCTATTCTTTTCTCCTTCATCTAGAATGAATGTTGGTTTTTGTTACAAGCGCTGTTACAAGCCTCTCTAGTTTCCCAGGAGTTCACTATGGCTTTTTTCCTGAATTCAAAAAAGCCACTGTTCTATCATGGTGTCATCTAAACCATGATTAGCCTACTAAAAGGAGTAAAGAATATGCTACAGTCATCCATTCTTACCTTTAATGATATGGATACCAGCTAAGCCATTAAGAGCACACACCAACTGTCGGTGAGCTTCCTCACACTCTGTTCGACATTTCTTCTGCAGAGATGTTAGCAGTTCCTCCATGGTCATGGTGCTAAAATGGAGACCAAATGGCTCAAATTTGAAACAAAACCACAATACTAGAAGTAGTAAAACTGTCATGCTGTGCAGCATGAAAGATTGTTACATACATCCAACATACTGTGCAAATGTTTATTCGAGATTTATTTACTTATTAAAAAAACCCTAGTTGTCAGCTTTTCTTCCATATAGAGCTTTACTCTAACTTGAGTATGTCAAGAGGTTGACATCTCCTAAAAATAGAAAGAAATAAGAAACAAGAGGAAAATTAGAACCAGGTAAAATAAGCTTTCACAGGGCAAAATATTTTGCTCCTTCTGTTAGTGGTGAACTGGAAACAAGCAAAAATAGATCTCATTTTGCTAGAAGCTGTTCAGATGAAAACAGCTATGAGAGACTACATTTCTCCCCTCTGCTACCAATCTAAACATGCAAAACAGATGAGGTATCAAGGTAAAGAGGAAAATGTGTGGAATGAGAATAGTGAAGATTAGCAACTATCATTTAAAACTTCTTTTTCTACATTTGTTTGTAGTATTTGTAATTCTTGAGAGGAATTTAGTCAGAAAAGAATTACCTCAATACAAAAATATTTTATATTATATATGGAGAGGTAAGAGGGAGAAGCAAGAATAGAGATGAGAAAGAAGAAAGAAAGAAGCATGAAGGATAGCTTGGAGTAAGGCCAAGGGACAAAGAATCCAGGCAGGAAGAAGCCTGATGCAAAGAGACAGGAGAGTAAACTGCAACAACAGTCTACAACAGCTGACCTGAGACTGCTTCTGTGACCAACCGCTGCTGTGAGACCAAACACTACTCCCCTTCCTGAAACCCTGCTCCTCAGCCTCATTCACCTTCAGGAGAAGCAGTTACTATTTGGTGTTCAGTACTGTGGAGTACATAACTCCAGGTGGCATAACTCCTCTGCAGTCTGGGCCCAACGTATGCTGGAAGGGTATCCTTGACTAGGCCTTTATTTTACCCTCCTTGCAACACTGTTCCATTTGCAGAAACTGTTCCTTGAGTTTACACTAGTGTTACACTAGAGCAGGCTTTAGATCAATATAATCACTATTTATAATTAGTTGAATTCTGCAGAGGTATTGGCAAATATACATAGCACCTGCTGCTCATACTCTGATACTTCCACCACTACTACTTACCTTTCATTTTCAAAACCATCAGCAGTTTCAAGAACAATTATAAAAGCAAAAGGATGTACATATAAAGTATGCAATTTGATACATAGCCTGAGACTACCAATTAAGACAAAAAAGTTTTTTTTATTCAATGTAACTAGGGGAGCCTAGAAAACTCCCTTTTGAGGGCTGTATTTTTGCCGAGTAGATGTTCTCATATACTGTCTTCACTACACAGGTGGGAAAAAAAGGTCATCTAGCACAGAATATGCTCCAAACTCAGCTTTCTTGTTTCTGGCCAGTTTCTCTTATCCATATGCTCCAGCATCAACTTTCTTGTTTCAGTAAATTTCTCTTCTTCATCAAAGTTCCTAGCACTCAATTTCTTCATTATTCTCATACATATAACCAAAGCCAGGAGCCAAATCTTCTTTCTGTTCTGGGCATGTCCACTGCTGCAGTCAAGCTTGGTTCTCAAAAAAAGATATGTAAATAGCGCTGGGAAACAACTTTTCTTTGTACATATGATTTTAAGAAAGATTTCATTTTCATTGCTAGTTTTTCCACCCCAGTTACTATGCAGCTGTCACTCCGTAAGCATTCCACCAAAATCAACACAGTACTAAGCCGTCCCCACCACACTCAGATCAGTTTACACATTTCATTTGTAATCCACTGGCTCGTTTTAATGCAAATAATCTTGTATGGGCTGGTGGGAATATTGATTTCTCCCATGTTTGAGTCCTTGCCTCCACACTAGCAGACTGTTAGACAGAAAGTGCTACCGCACAGTGCCTACTATTGGTCTCTGCTGAAGTGGGTGCAAAGTCAGTTACAGCTGCTTAGGCACGTAGGTGCCCTGTATGAGAAAGGGGAAGGAGTAGGACACAAAATTTCATAAAAGGATAGAAAGAGACTGAATAGAATGGATGAACAAGAGCAGGAAATAGTAGCAATAACACTGGCAGTGTTAAAAATTTAAGTTCTTCCCTCCCTCTAGCTTAAAAAAGAAACAACATAGACAGTGCTCTGAGAGCCTGGAATGGAAACAGCCTGTTCTTTCACAACCCCCCTCCAAGTGACTGAAAAAGTAGCAGCTACATTTCACAAAGAGTGCTAGAAACATGCTTTTGGTCTAACAAAGGCTGAGACCAAACTGGTAGTTGCAGGGCACTTGTGAGGAAGATGGTTTAGTGGGCATGGTGGTGTTGGGTTAGCGGTTAGACTTGATGATCTTAGAGGTCTTTTCCAACCTTAATGATTCTATGATTCTATGATCTTGAAAGCATGCAAAAAAAAGAAAAAAGGATAAAAAAAGCATTTGAACAGCTTTCAAGTTTGGATCTACATTTACAAATTCTGCAACTTCACATTAACAACATTTTCTTTGAATTAAAGAATTATTCCATTCTGTTTATTCATTTTTTTCATTGTTCTCATTCTTCATTTATGAACATGAGTTTTGTAAGAGGCAAAAGAAAATCAGTGGACTTATTTAAAACTGAAAAAGAATCTGCTTTGTTTCACAATCTGTCACCTGCAACACCCTAGTATCTATCAGCATCATAAGGTTAAAATGTTACTGCACAAACAACTGCCTCTCAGTTCTATGTTCTTTAACACAAGAATTAGACTAACTACCCTCTTGCCTCCTATTCAGCTTCTGAGGTCAGATAGCTTGGTGTGCCATAGTTGCACATTTAACTAAAGGAGCTTAAAGTTAGGCTTGTTTGAGAACTGTACAAGATCTTGCACCACTAGGGACAATCAAGAGTTTTGCTTTGGATAAAGCAAGTCATTTAACAAGTGACAGAAAATCACCTTTTCTGTAACGGCAAGAACTCTCCCCGAACAGCTTGTGGATGACAGCAGGCCTGCCTCAGCCGCAGCAAAGGGTACAGAATAGAAGTCACAGTCCTTCTATCGAGGCTGCTAAGCTTAAGAGTCCAGTCTGAAATCTTCCTGAGTTTTGCCAATGCATCCTGGCAGCACACCTCGTGCTGGCGATGATAGAAGTGTCTCTCCACAGGAGAAAAGTGAAGCCAGTGTACATTTTCTGTCTGAGGGGGGATCTGAATCTGCAATTAAAAAAGAAAATAAGTACTTTGCAAATAAAGCTATTGAAAAATGTTATTCAGGAATTTTAAAACCCAAATCTCTTATTTACTTGGTCAATCACATCCTTCTTTGCTGATCTCCACATTATCTTGGCAATTAGACTGTAGAGAGGCCGAGGATTTTTCCTACAATAAGGTCGATATAAAAGTTGGTCCCACCAATGTTTGACCCAGTAAGGATCAACTCCAAGAAAAAGGACTAATCCATACAGATCTGCCAAGAAAAGAAAGTGTTTTAGTACAACGCTTGTGTTTTAATACTTCACAATATGCCTCCAAAAAAATTAACTTTCATACAAAGGTTACCAGGCACAAAGCTACATTCTGGCTGTTATCTTTTCCACTTGGTTTCCACTCATTCCCTCACCAAAATAGCTCATTTGAGGCAGGGGACCAAGTGGGGGAAGGTGTGGGTTCTCTCCTTTAGCTAGTTGTTGATTTTTACAGAACTTGCTGGAATATAATTATTTGTGAGACACTTTCCTAATTTCAAGTTTAGCAGAACAAAGCAATGAATTTAAACCTATTCAGAGCAGAGGTGAGAGGCAGAAATTACATGATTGCATATGGTTAACTGGGTTTGCCAGGTTTTTCTAGAACAATATTGCTCAGTATCATTACTTCACAGCCTGCTGTGCAACAACCATCCCAAAAGGTGCTACAATTAAGAAGACTTTCACTTTTCTACTAAGGCATAAGAAATTAACAAAACACCCTTTTATTGTTTTCTTACTGATTGAGAGAATACAGTTTGCTAATTCTGCCCAATTGAGAAACCCATCATTCTTGGGGATGAAATTTAAGGACATACTGACTTTAAGCTTGTATCTAAATCTTACTGGAAAAATACAGAAGCACACGTCTAAATGCTGCATGTAGACAATGCAGAAATAGAAATATATGATTATATCTTATAGATAGTTCTTAAAGATCTGGTAGCTACATTCTTTATTCTGTTAGCTTTATGTTAATTTTGGTATTCAGCTGAGAGCTGTAACACATTCACCAAATATGTCATAGCCCAGGGGAGGAAAAAACCTGGGAATCATTTCTACACCGGAAGCAACTGTTTACCCAGAAGTCCTATCCCACTTTATTACAGCAGTGGCGGCACGGATTCAAATTAGTCAGCAGTTTTCATCCTCTATGTGATGGGGGCTGCCTCAGTATAGCCTGAGCGCCTGGCCAACATGCATTATGGACAATATGACATTTCAGATATGTATTAAATCAACACTATCACACATAAGCACTTGAACAAGTTAATCATGACAGTCAAATCAACCACTTACTTCTATAGTGTATGCTTTAATTAACTATGTATTCTCACAATTTTTATGTGTATTTATAAATTTAATCCACAATTCCATAATGAATTAATCTACAATATTGACTTTTATAATAGTTTGGTATCTGAACAACAGTTCATAAATGCACACAAATGCTTACACCGATTTATTCACTTTCAAACTCATTGCCTCAATGTGTACCACATATTCCTAACTCCATCAAAGAACACAACCAGATAAAGAAGGTAGTCAGTTCCCTTTCTTTTTTTTCTGTCTGAAGCCTGTCTACAGAAACCGAGTACCTCACAAAAAAGACAAGAAAAATGACACCTGCTAACATACAGCTCCCTACTCCACACGTCTCAATTCATTAAGTCTTTACAGAAGGATTTAAAACAGTTTCATAAAGCTTTAGTACAATCTTTAGAATTTATATTCATGGCAGTTGATGCCCACAGTAGTTCATACAGGGCTACGCAAAAAGCAAATACAGCTTTGCTTGCTGTTTTTGACAGTTAGGAGGATTCTGTAACCAGAGCAGACTATCTTCAGCTGCAATAGAGGAGGGTTAATATTTACTCGCTCTACTAAGTGAAAACTGAAGCTTTATTACATGCTTAAGGTTTATGGCTTATCAAGTCAGAGTACCTAATTAATTCAGAGCAAAACTAGCAGACATTTTAACTGCTTCAAAATACTACCTAATTATCAGCACAAGGAAAACCCACAGATAACGCTGCTACATAAAATCTCACCTTCTAACCCTCGCTGTACAGGAGTGCCACTGACACACCAGCGATTGATTCCACTTAAACGGAGTGCCATTTCAGCAGCCTAGCAAACGAAGATAGAACCAATGGTAGGAAAGCAAAAACAAAGACATAGTGGAACAGAGTCTGAAAACATGTGGACCTTATTTTTAAGAAGTCTGAACATCTTTTCACTATGTGAGATTAGCAGACCTAATAAGAGAGATAAGCAGCATTGGTACAATATATTACAAAAATGTGTATAAAGTTTTTGAGCTTTTTTGAAGGTAACTGAAAGCTGATAAAAAACATATCCACTTCCAAGTAATCCAAGTGCAATTAAGGGTTCACAGAAGGCAAACAGTTAGCAAAAAAAAACTGTACGTAAAAAAAACAAATTAAAAAATTAACGCCCATAAGCCATTATGTAAGCAGCATTTTTGTCTTTCTGTCTTGGGCAAAAAGACTGGACAAATACTAATCAAAATAGTCTCCCTCTGCAGACTGCAGCCCTAGAGTTTGCAGACAGACTGATGACTATTTTAGCTTCTAGACCCAAGGACATATCTATGCCTCTGAACCATGTCACTAAACAGGCTAGTGTTTTGTTCGAAACTATCAAACACCATGTACAACACGATGACCTAGTTCTTTAAACTGTCGGTATAGATTATGTTAAGTGTTTTTTGAGCTGGATATACTTCACAGTCTGCCAAAATTCCAACAGGAGAACAGATTTAATAGTAACCATCTCCAACAGAAAATTCACTTCTAAAGAACAAGCTACAAGGACAAATTACCTGAGTGCACTGAACATTAAGAGGGGGAGAGGGAAGTCTACTGTATTATTTACAATAAGCTTGTCAAAACCTTTTCAAGTTAAATAAATGCATGACCAGGAATGTCATACCTTTGCAGTAGTGCATTCAACCATTTGTGCTTCATCAAGGCAGATCCTCCACCACTCCACTGCTACTAAGGGGCTTGGGATGGCCATGTACCGCTTCTGGTTCCTGAAGCGGCGCCCATCTTTGCTGTTACTGTGGGGTATATCTACGTAGTTCAGTTCAGTGCGGAGGACATCGTATGTGGTGATAACCACCTCCTGCTCTGCCAACATGTGTGGCTGCAAAAAGCCATGCTTCTTCACACCTTGGTACACCTACATAGATTTGTATTCAATAGCACAACAGCAAAGATTGAAGGTAAGAGACACTTTAATGCTAAAATACCAGTACAGCTCAATACATGCATGCTTTCAGCAGTGTTGCTTATGTAATATGAAACCATTCATAAAACCTATATTCATATAGCAGCACAGTGGGAAATCCATATAAATGACACATATAATAAATGCAATACAGACATTGATGCAAAATTTTTTATGTATGATTACTTATATCTTCACAAAAGATTTTTTCCTGCCTTGAAGAAAAGAGGACTTCATTATTTTCTACAACAGTTATTTGTTGCAACAGTTGTTTGCAAAATTAAGTAACCTGTAATGTCGTATGGAGCAACATTATGTAAGTCAGTGTTACATGTCTGGTCCTCTCCTTTACTGTAGATGTATTACCTTTCTCCCCATTGCCCCAAAAATTTCATGGATGATTAGGCAAAGACAGAAGCATGCAGTGAAATATTTAAAAACCAGAAATGATACTCTGGGCAATGTTTTATCTACAAAAAGGATTTCTACAGAGACTCATGAGATAGAAAGAATACCCTAGGAAGAAACAATCTCTGTGCACCAACAGAATATTATTATAAACCTTTCACACTGACATTTGTTCTATTATCAGAAGTATTCTTCTTATCTCACTTGTCATTTTAAGCATAATCCTTTCGGAAACATACAGAAGTTTAAATAAAAAAATTAACAAGCTAAACCAAACATTTTACTGTATGTTTCCCCATGGTAGCGTTCTAAAGAAAATAAGTACAGCATATATTACGAGTCCCAATATACTTACAATACCAAAACATGTTAAAATTTCAAATAAAGTGTGGTACAACACACAATCAAAACATATTTTTAGAATAGGAGTGTTTTCTCATCTCCAGATTTTTAGCTACTAAGAACAATTATTACCAGAGCTATATATCAATCGCCTTTTTTTCCTTCTCATATAAACATTTTCTCTTGCTCCCAATTTACTTCAGCAACCTACTTCAAAATTATAGGCATCCATTGCTTACTTTAAGAATTTTATCATCAGCTACTTACCACTCATTTAGATCTGTATATTAATCACAATATTAACATAGATAAGGCTTTCTTCTGACAGATACAGGACTATCCCTATCTTTTTTAGAAAGGATCTATATTCTAGTCTCATCTTCAAATAGCCAGCATCTTTCTATTCTTCTCTCATTGAGCGAGTTCATGATTTATTATATAAGAATGGACCATCTCGGTTAGTGTTTATCTGCAACTACCTACAAACACTTTTACCATTTAAGAAAATCACACCATCTTTCAGTCCCGCAGAGTGTCACAAACGTTTATGTTCTCTTAATTCACGCAACTAATAGTTAAAAATACCAAAATTAAGGTGACCCTATAAAAACTTAGTTGATTCCCCCCCGCTTTACCCCTTGATGATCAGCACATGATTTCACTGTTAATTTCATCGTTAACTGTACTTTTTCTTCCAGTAATAATCTTCCTCTACCTTTGTGCATATGGCAACAGTGTTTCTGTCAACTGAAAGAAACACTTGCAGAAAATTTCTGTTCGGCCTCAGAGTGCGACAACAGAGCGTGTGCAACCAGGTCAATGCACATGAATGAAAGCGAGAGAAAGGGAGGGGGAAAAAAGAACAAGAACAAAAAAAAGAACATGTTCACTGAAGCAACTGTTAAGAAGAAAAAAATAGCTGTCGAAGTCTAATGATCTCTTCCAAGTATTTATGAACAGACTTTCTGGAGGTTTATAACTTGGCCAAGTTTTGGTTGTTTTCACAGCAGCAGGAAAAGAAAACCTGCTGCAAAGCAAGACCTACTGATAAATTTTAATTTCTTGTTCTATTACATAAAACCATTAGAATTTCCCATGGGTTGTAAGCAGTTGGAAGAATAAAAAACAGCCTTCTAAAGTACTGACATTCAGTATTTAAGCTATTTTACTGTTATCAAGTAAATCTAGTTCTGACAGTTTTCATCAAAACTCGTATAAAACTTGGACTGGGTCCCGTGAAAACTGTGCAAGTTTTACACGTTTGTTAGTTGCTGCACTAAAGCTAATTAGACTGCTCACACAAATGGCTTGCTTACTGGAGGCCTAGAATTCATTTATACATTACGCATCTATGCAGAATAGCTGAAGGTACCATATATATCCCTGAATACAAAGCTTCCTCTCTTTATCAATCTACTACTGCTGTTATTTTATTCAAAACATAAGGGATCTACGGTTCTCAAAGCACTTTATCATTACAAAGGTTCTTGCCTACTAAAAATATGAAGGGCAGAACTTGACTATGTCATTAATAAAAGACAATGGCTACCCTTGAATACTGTGATAACTATATTAAAAAAAAATCCTGTATAGCCACAGTTACTGTATGTATAATTAGTTTATTTTAGTGATAGAGCCTTTAGAAATCAAGTAAAAGGACAATACATGGTCTCCAGATAAGCAACATTCTAATAAATATGGCAGATGTTACAGAGACAATGCCCAAGTTGTAATGGTGTTATTCTCAGTAAACACCAAGGACCAAGACTTCTTTTGTAAAGCCTGAGAACCAGAAATTCAAAAGTACACTCTCTACCTACTGAAAAATTTGTTTTTATCTAGAATGAAATAGGAAGCAACTGTCAGAGAGCTGCCTGGGTACAAATGTACAGTGAGACGACACTGCCAAAACACCTACAGTCAGGCCTTTCTAAGTTCCTGGGTAATCTTTCAGGAAAAAAACCCCACAAACAGCCTTCCCTCTCAGAAATCACCTGTTGTTGCAACTGCTCAAAATTTGCTTCCATTTGATAAAGATATCTAGTCCACTGTATCATCTCCCAGTGACCAACTAATAAGGAAAAAATGAAGAACTAAATGCAGACAGTCTTTCTGGGACACCAATGCACCGTGTGATGCCAAAGCATGGGTCCAATAGCAAGAAATGTAGAATTCTGACACAGAGGACAAAGAAACCTCTGAACTTTACGTGACAGAGTGTCAGGCAGGACTCCCCGAGCCTTGATAAAATAACTCTCCAGAATATGAAGCTATATAATCTTACCAGAACTCGAAGAGAAGATGATCTTACATGCCTGTTGATCTCATCTACCCACTGATGACAAATAGAACTCGGAGAAATTATCAGAGTTGCTCCTGTGGAAACGGGTTTCATTGCCACGAGGCAATGAGGACAGTAGAAGGGCTTGATCTTCAGGTTTTCCTCTTTGTAGTTTACACATTCTGCATGCTGCCATAAGTAACATTTCAGGCACTGCACACGAGCTTTATAGTCAGCCAATCCAAGCTCACCACAGATGCATTCAAACCGATATTCAGAGGTATTAAATGGAAATACAGAACTGGTGTGTTGTACGCTACTGCCAGCATGTTCTTGGGAATGTGAGGACTCGTCCTTTGGGATTTTCTGCTGGACATGAGCTGCAGTTTTAGAAACACCAAAATTGGGATGACTGCTCACATCACTGGAGACAAGGAGGTTGCCATGCAAATCAGGAGGCTTTGGGACCACAGCTTCCTACTGAACATTATCCTCTTTTACAGAGTTCTCACGATCTGCTTCAGATATCCTGTTATTTTTGCTAGTTGTACAATAATCATGTTCTTCCATGGTGATATCCACCCGTAAAGGGATTTTAAGGACATTTTCAGAAGTGACATCACTATTTCTTGATTCTTTGGTTTGAGTTTTAGCATCAATCAACTGCTTCTTCTGAACGCTTTCTGAAGTCTTTGCTATCTACAAGCAAAATTAACCAAGAATATCAGACTTCCTCCTCCCCTTTTTTTTTTTTTTTTTGGAACATATAAACACATCAAGAGATATATATAAAGATTTTATATCAATTTCCAGTTTGAGGATTTGGTTAATGTTTATCAGTGTTTGAAAGACAACTTCACAGTAAGAACAATACATCTGCCAGCCCTGCAGCACTATTTTAAAAGGTTTATGACAGATGCAGTTAATATTTTAGCCCCAAATTTGATCTACTTATGATTTCTGCTTCTTTGTTCATGAATGTCAAAGGAACTGCTGCAGTTTTCTTCATTTTTATCAATAAGCCAGTGTCACTGAACTAATGCACACAGACAACACAGCTGAGAGTAGCATGCAATTGGTACAAATAAGATCTGCCTTTGCAACATTCTTTGAAGTAAGTACGGCAGCACGTTTTACCTGCTCTTTGGTTCTTTCTCGCCTCTTCCGTTCCTTGTAATTCTTTCCTAGCTTGAAAGACCCAGCCAGACCATGTCCTTTGACTTGCTCTACTACTTGTTCTGTGATTAGTTTTTCTAGAGTTCTTTTAAGAAGACGTCTATTTCTCTGTATGTCATACCTATATATAGCACTGATGTACTTAAATATTGCAATAATGGATGCTCCTTTCTTCACATTCATTTCCTTTACAGCTGCTAATATCATCACTCGTAAGCCTATATGTAGAATCAAAGAAAAAAAACCTTACAGCTCAGATAAAATGAAAGTTACCTCAGAGAATGCATATTAAGGGAACTCTAAACACCATGTTCATCTAACAAATGCAAAACAAAGCCAGGCAGCAGTTTTGACAATGCTTTACTTGAGGTAGCCCTACAAATCACATTTTTTAGTGATTTTAAGACAATATTGAATAGCAATAGAAATAAGTCACTCAATTTTCTTACTGAAGCTTATAAAAAGACAGTGTATTTCAGTTAAATGCATAAACCATCTTACAATGACCTTTAGTTACATGGAGCTCTGTAGCACAGAGATCTGAGTTGGTAACTTTACTTTTAACTGTGGATCACTTGTTTGTAGCGTGCAATCCTACATCACAGTGCTCAGCAAAAGACTCATTTCATTCTGCAGAAGTGAAGAGTAGCCTTGAACTCATAGTCAGTGGCCAATATAAGACTTATGCCAAAAGCAAAATATTTAAAAAGTCATCAGAAATACTTACTGGGATATTGTATTTTTTCCTTCAATTTAAGCTCCATTTCCTTTGGTTTTTTCTTTTTATTTCCTTCTAAAGGTTGAGGTGGAACAAAGAAGTTCACGAGCTTACCCTAATGCAGACAATATTAAATAGTTATTAGCTCATGTCCGTTCACAGTAATTCTGAACTTCATTAATCTTTTCACATTTGAAAATAAGCATGAGCTGCTACAGATGTGTGCTCTGATCTCACTAATTTGCTCAGATAGCTCATTTTTAGTGTACAGGGTGATACCCCATTCAGTTCAGTTTCTCAGCAAACGGTGTTCAGCACCCTACCGCGAGAACAGAAGGAACCACTTGGGTCCTCCACTACTTCAGAACTAAGTTGCAGGAATCTATAGCTCTAAGTGATCTAGGTTACTGATGGGGGAGGGAAATATACGCTTAATATATAGCTAGAAACACAAAAGGAGGTAATCAATATAGATTGAAAAGCCCTAGTTAGTTGTACAAGTAAGTTTCTCTCTTTAGGGATTGCCTCCAAAAAAAATGTACTCTATTAGTAGTGATTAAGGAATAGTGATTTAATTTAAGGGGATGTATACTCAAGAACTGGGATATAAGAAAGAATCGCAAAGCTGGAACAAATGCAGTGCCAATATTTCTATGATTAATTATTTTATAGCTGTATTCATTGACACTTCACTCTGCCCTGTCCAATTGGTTGTTTTGCAGAGTTCTTAAACAGTAACTGCAATGAAACTCCAGACACTATTTGAGCCCTACAGTGAGTTGAAATACTTGGAGTAACTCTGACATTGGCTTACACAAGCCAGGAGTCATCCAGAAAGTGTCTGTTGGAATAAAGCACTTTTGTTTTGTTTTCTTTTTTCAGAACATCATACAAAGACATTTTATATTTGTCAACAAGAAAAATACAGATGACAAGAGGCCTTCTGGATGAGTGGAATAGTGCCTTTTAACCACAGGAAATGTCATATAATTCTGTTCATAGAGATCCCAAAATACTAGCTAAGATGTCTGTCCCAACTACTCATATCATGAAACAGTTTCATAACTCCACCTCTCCAAAACCTATGGTCTCTAGCTATTGTTGCCAGTTGATGTCCAGATGCTTTAGCGCTAATACTCCCCTCTTTACACTCCTCAGTGCTGACCCTCTGATACACTTAAGAAGAATCTTATTCTCCCTTTGAGAATTGGGTCTTTTTAAACTGATAAAATTACTAGCAGGCAGGAGATCATTATGAATAGATGTACAATGAAACTGGCTGCCATGAATTCAAAAGGATGGAACCCACAGAAGTGGTAAGAGTTTACCTAAGAAAGAATTTTTGGTTTTAGTGAATGTGCTAAGTTTTCACAGGATGCATGATGAGGAAAGTGAAAAGATGGAAAACTGTTACTAAACAAGCCCATTTATTATATGAAATAGACGGGGGGCAGAAATCTTTATTCACTGAGTTTAAATCGTCCCTATTTTAGCACAGAACATATGTCTAATGGATGTTTGATACTCATCAATACAATGAAGTGAAGGGGAGAATGATTTCCAACATAGTAGACTAAATGACATATTTACACACTCCTGGAGTGTGTGTAAACTACCAACAGCCTATTAACAACGCAGTTGCCTGCTAACACCCTTCAACAATGGCAAACTATCAATAGCTTCTCACCATTCCTCTATTTATGCCACCAAGTATCACATCCTACAAAGCAAAAACTTTCACTGTACTTTAATCCAGCTTTAAATCTGGACTTCTATAAAACAGAAACCAATAAACTCAAGAGAAGTGCATTTCCATTAGTTCTGAAAAGTATTCATACTAACTCTTATCCTGGTTTTCTTACCTCAGGTAATGTCAGATCATCTTGTCTAATGTCTGGTCGGGTATGAGTCAGAATAAGAGCCAACACTTCTACTGTTTTTCCAAGACCCATCTCATCTGCCAAAATACCTCCAGGCCACTGGGGTCCAGCAATCGGATTCCTACGGATAATACTAAAATTCAAGTACATTCCCAAATGAAAGTCAGTAACTATAGAGTGGTGTGACAGAGAAGCACGTGATCAGGGACACACACACAGCATAGCTTCAGCAAGGCAAAGTTTGTAAGGTATGGCAATATCTTTTATTAAATAAACTGAGATTGACAAAAGCAAGCTTTTTGGGTGTACAAACCTGACAACAGGCGAATATGTATGTCAGAAGTTTTTGGATTTTTTCCCTTCCTAACAGGCCTTGCCTTGCTAACCTTAGCATATCATAACAATAGTCTCCAAAAAATTGAAATATATTTGTATTCCCCTGTGTTAAAGGTCTGAAAGTTATATAGGGAAAAAATAAAAAGCAAACTAGCAATCAGAAAGTTCTACTCTAACCAAATTAATGAGAAAAGTGAAACAGAATTAGTAATGCAATATCCAGCATTAATAAAAAACATTATACTGCCTCCTTCCTTTAGATTTTAAAAACATTGGACCAGAAGGTCGAAGCCTCCAATGCTCTAATTTAAAAAAATGATAATCTTAAAATCACAAACTTGCATTGAAATGAAAAAAATAAAAGCTTTAAGAATTATGTCTTCAACTGGAGATTTACATATTTACCTGTGCATTATATACTCCAGTTTGCCTTTTTTTTCAAATTAAAGATATCACTGTTCTAACTCTTTAGTTGCTAACTGAAAAATGATTGTTATGGATTATCTTACATCCTCCAGGTAGAAGATGCCAATAAGGTTTTCACAAAGTACAACCTTGAGGTGTTTTCAGAAAGAGCTAAGTATAAAAACATACCAGCCAGTAAATGGATTATAGTAGATTTTTACTCCATCCAGAGTGATGACCTCCCGCCACAAGAAGTGCAGTGCATCTTCTACGGAGAAAGAGTTCATGTTACTATTATAAGGTTTCTCTATAAACAGCACACTGCTTGGAATTGCTCAGCCTTATTGTGACATTTAGAGACAAAAAGCAGACGTCTACCTCCACAGTGCTTCATGACCCACAAGATACATCAGCTGCTGTTCAGCAAAGTTTAGTTTATCAGCTTTTATAGAAATAGTAACGAAATAATTAACAAAGCTTCTAATCAAACAGCAAGAAAGCATTACTGCTGCCAATACAATGCCACTTTCCTCAATTACGCAAGTTTTCCAGACCCATATACTTGCCACTGGCTGGAGAGCTTGTGAGGTTCTCTCGGTGAAGCATCCAGTTCACAGCCTCACTTTGATATGGCCTCAGAATAGGAATTAATGCAGGGTGCTGCACATCCTCTCTCAGTAACTGGATATCCTGCTGATGGGTGTGCCTTACGAAGTCATAAAGCTCTTCAATATTTTGTCGCTCTAGTTCCATGTCAGATTCTTCCTCATCTTCCTCCAGCTCATCTGCATACACCAAATAATTCAAAACACACATTATCAATCAACTTCGGTCAACGTTTCAGTAAATTTTGCTGCAACATATTTAGCTAACACATGAAAGCAAGCAAAGCAAAACGTCATTTAAACATACGTCATGACTGCACCTGACTCAGCTAGCAGCAGTGGGAAACAATGAGCACTACTTCCCTGAAAGTTAAGATTAGCATGCTATGGCGATCATAAAGGTATACATAATCAGCAAAGCTCTTGCTTTAGAATTCAGGGATAGAATGACCAGACCTTGTTTATTTAATAAAGACCTTCCACTAAACATTTCCAACTGATACAGAACCACAAATAACTTGCATTTCAGTTTTAAATGTTAACATGGGTCGATGATCTTACAGAAAGGGTGGGTTGTCAAGGAATTGTACATTTTTCATGAAATAAAGCCTTTATTGATAAAACAACATTTAAAAAAAAAAAAACAAAAAAACCCCAGGAGATTTTCGTCAGTGAGCTTTCACGTTAATGTTAAATTATCCATCTGGATAAGAAAATTGTAGCAGTTGGATAATATGAAATTCTCACCGTTTGCATCATTGCAAAAATTCAGACAAGGCATACTTTAGAACTTAAAATCCCACCTCAAGAAGTATGTACCCACAAGAGAAGTATGTACCCTCTAGAAAAGAAGGCCTACCCTTCTTTCCTACCTCTAGGAAAGAAGGCCTTGTGCTTATATATTTTTCACATAATTTGGATATATGGGCATATACAGAACTTAAGCACTGTAGAACAAAAATTAATGGAAAATTCAAAGGTCAGCATTTTAGGAAACTGACATAAGATGAGGGAACAAAAGACTCAGAGGACAAGTTTTAACCGTGTTTTAGGTCTCAAATTAAAAACACTGGTACCAATAAAACAGCTGTACAACTCTACAGTTCAAAGAAAGATACTAACCCTAGCTAGTATTGGAGATAAAGCCACCTCGCAGAATTTTTCTCAAAAAAAAAAAAAAAAAAAAAAAAGTAGAAGCAAGTCAAGGCCAGCATTTTCAGCACAAAGTGACCTTAAGGTATATTTAAAAGTATAATATACTGATAAAAAGAGAAAACAGCTAATAGCAGGCACAATTAAATCAAATTGTAATTATGATGCCTCACGCTAACAACGAAGAGATGTACCTGGCACAAAGACCAGAGAGCTTAATCTTAAAATAAGGTTTGGGCGCTGCTGTTAGGACTCTCTTTCACGGAAAGCAAAAGCTTTCTTTCATGAATGGTGACGGTGAAGAATAGTTTCCAAAACAAAGAGCAGGAAATGATGTGCCTATGTGTGGCAGCCATCAGTGCCCTCCCCTAATCCTTTTAAGTCAATGGAACAATTCCAGTGCTTCACAAGGGAAAAGAGAATTCTGAAAGACATTAAGTTTCTATAAATTCATGAAAACTGCATATATAAAGACTTGTAATGTAAAGAAGGCAACCAGAGTGCACATGTGGGGTTATTAATGTCCCAGCCAAACGAAAAGCACCAAGCAGAGCATGCAGCTACAGAAACCGTTCCAAGGGATCCTCTCATACACATTCCTCACTTCATGGAAAGAACAGAGAAATCAGAGTGATTGCAGAGTATAACGTTGATCAATGAAGTTGATCTATAACGACACCTATCATCATATCTGCTAGAACAACAGTTTTCAAATCTCACATTTCAGAGCATAATAAATTGACTTCTATATAAACTAAGTCTATCCAGAATTTTACAGGGGAGCAAAGACTACAATAGACTTTAAAGTAAAAGCTATGTTTTGTCCATACCCTTCTTATTTCAAAGATTTTTTTTTTCTGATTAAATGGTTCTATGTACCACAGGAATTTTTAAAAGGATGCTAAGGAAGTTTAATAAGTAATTGAGAGAGAGGTAAACAGTGAATATTTAATTATGCTTTCAACCATTTCAAAACATGATCCAATTACATAGCTTTCACCTTAGTATTTTCTACCTTTGAGAAATAGATGGTATTGTACTACCTAAAAATTCAGTTTCTCTGATATGTTTCATAATCAAGTATTCTACTTAATTCCTTCCAGGACTGAACTAAAGTTCTGCTACTGCATCTGCAGTAGGATCTTTCTGTCTTATCTGTAGGGCAGTTTCCAGATTGCTGTATAAGAATATCTACATCAATGAAACCGTAATCTTCTCCGCCTTTATTCTAGATTAATGGAAAACTTGTTGTTTCACATTTGGTATTAAAAAATGCTATATAAAGACCAAAAAACTCTTCGTACAAAGAATTTATTCTTCTTAAGAAAACTGAAGGAAAATGATATATGGTATATACTATTGCCATGCTACTGTATGTCATACTATAGTTCCATGACACTATGGGAAAAAGAACTCTGAAACATTTACCATTCACTAGAACAAATAGCAATTAAACAGACATTTTAGTCTTTTTTTTTTTTAATTTTAATTATAACGGCTATGGGTTTTTTCATATGAAGAAAGCAGCTAGCTGGATCTATAAGTGACCTACGCCCATGTGTTCACTGAAGCAACAAGAAGCGACACGTAATATTATACAGCAGATACAAGATACATATATATATTTTAAAAGCAGCTATTTATTAAAGCAAACAAAAGAAATCTCTGTTAAAAAGTTTTTCAAAAAAGTTAACTCTACAATGTTCAAAACTCATGAAACTTCTTCATATTAAGTATTTTGTCACTCTTTTGCAGATTCATTAATGCGTCTGTCCTATGCTTGCCCTAACTTGATATGGAATTCCTGCCACAAAGTCTCAAAACCATCTAGAAGGACATTAACGGGATGAGTACATTGAGGAAAACAAATATATAAAAATTAAATGTAGTGATAGAGAGGTCATGTCCCTTATTTGTGTAAATCCTCCATCAACACAAGAATTTGCTCATCAATGGAGAGAACAAGAAGCCTCATCTTGGAATGTTGTTGCATAGAGTTCATTTTAGATGGATATTGACAATTGTTAAAATACATACTTGCATGCAGTTTTATAAAAATTTCAGTTAATTATGTTTAAAAACAGGTGAAATTCAAACATAGACTAAGTTGTTAGAAACTGAAATCAATTTACACTTCTTAAGAGAAATGTATTCATCAGTGTAGAATCAAGGCTATATTATTTTATGCTACATCAAACAGTACGTGCTTAAAAACTGTTAGAAAATGTAACTGGTTTCACAGTGTGTAACCGCCTGGGGTCTTCCCTCCCAAATCTCTTCCATTTCTGTGACATGCTTTATTTCTGAATTCGGAGCACAGCATAACGCATGCTATAGGCTTGTATAGTGGTTTAATGATCCTGTTTTGTTCTCTAATACTTTCAAGACAATTCTTTACCTTTGATTTGGTTTGACTGACACTGAACACTAAGTTGATGCATTTACTGAGCTATATAACCTACCTACTGAACTACAACCCTAGTTGAAATGGTTAGCAGAGGCCATCATTTTCTTCTAATGTGAAGTAAGGATTTTTTTTCTTCTGCATTGCTTTATATTTATCTATATTGAATTTATACTGAAACTCCATGCCTAGCCTGCTGGCAAGCTTTCAGTTGTTCTTCATCTCTGTTATGTTGAATAATACATTTAAAGTTTGCTGATGATACCATCTCACCAATCACTGTATTTCCCAAAGCATTAGGAACACATTAAGCTGCACATGCCTTTGTAGGACTTGACTGGTGACCTTCACACATACTAACAACCGTTTATTTCTATTCTCCACACCCTCTATTTTACTTAGTCATTTACATGGCATTCATTGGTGCAGAATCAAGGCTATATTATTATTTCACGCCGCATCAAAATGTACATGCTGAAAAACGGTCAGAAAATTTACCAATCAGCAACACAGCTCCTTGATGAACCTGAGCCAGTTGCATGGCTTCTGAAAAGATAAGCTAAGGCATAACAACCCAATCACTCAGGTCCACTTCTTGCTCCAGTAATTTTGAGGGGCATGTCTTTCCTTGCAGAAGCTATATTGCCTCTTCGCCTGTAAGCTACACTCAACCATGTAGTCCATAAAAATCTATCCTTTAGTGTACTGAGGACAAATGCCCCAAGTTCCAGCAGAAAATTATTTTGGATCTCAAAATAGGTCACTGTTCATTTTGTCCGTAAACAATCTCTTTCCCCAACTCTTCCAAAATGAGAAGATATGCAGAGAAGAAAATTGTTCTTCCTGCTATAGCATGACTTTATTTGAGCACTCTTTCATATGCCTTAGTCATCTCAAGTCTATGAATTCTCTGGCAGATATTCTGCTTTTAATGCATTCATGATAACATATTTCTCCTAATGCATTTAAAAATATTACTATTCATTTCTGTATCTTCAACTATTTATTCTTCAGACTTCTTTTTGAATCTGCTTTATTGTGCTTTTAAACCTAAACTGACAAATTTGTTTCAGTCAGATTACTTCAGTTTTTCAAAGGATGACTTCTTATATGCAATATCTTTCCTTCCCCACATACTTAGTTATACTGGCCCTTTTCCTGGTATATTTCAAGTTTTTTCTGATAGTTGCATGTTTGTTCTTTGCAGCAGGCATGGATGTACAGATTTTACTCTGTTAACTCTTCCTTTTAGCAAGTTGCCTAATTCTTTATATAATTCTGCCTTTTGAAATTAAGTACAATTATACGGGGGGTGCTAGGCTTCTGTTGCTTCTGCAAAAACACTGAAACTCAGTATATTATGGTCACTGTTACTGAGTCAGTCTTCAACTAACATTCTGAATCCATCCTACACTCAGGGACAAGATCAAGGCTGGTTTTTTTTAAGAGTTTCCTAAGCCATCACACCATAAAGCGGTCATTGATCACCCCAAAAATCTGCATCACTACTGAGTATAATCTGGCAAACATATCTTCAATTCCAAAATGATGACAAGGCCCATATTTGTAAATTGGCAGTGGTGTGTTCTTAAAACTGTCATAAAGCTGTATTTTGTAATAGTTTATAATATAAGTGCTTTACAATATAAACCAAACAGAAATTCTGTTGACACAGTTGTGTGTTAGGCACCAAACTAGAAACAAAAGCTTTCCAAATTTAATTCCTGGTTCTTTTAAACAATTCCTGTGTAACTCAGAGAAGCTACTGTAGATCTGTTCAAACAACCCACATGACTCAGTGAAAATTGATTGAATTTACTCCCAAAAAGGTAAGGACTCAAACTTCTATGTGCCTCAGTGCCTCATCTGTAAAGAAGGAATATTATCACCTGTAATTTGACCATACGCTAATTAGCATATGATTAATGGTCAGATAATAACATGGAGAGAATTACCTAATAATATTACCTGGAAAATAAAGTTGCTCTAGATGGCAGGAATAATTTACTATTTTCCCTTACATTTAAAATTACTAAAAAAAGACACACTTTAATAACAAAAATTATTCATCAACATTCAACTGAATTGCATTACCTGGAATTAAAAAACTATAGAACTTTTCCATGAGTTTTTGAATCAGCTGATTAGCTTTTTTGGGTCTTCCACCTCCATCACTGAGAAACTCTGGTTTACTTAGCCCAGCTTCCAGAAGGTAAATTCCAACCTGAGAAATGGTTATACAGTTAATCATTTAATTAGCTGTTAGAATGACAAGAATATTATAAACAGAAGAGTATGAAAATAACAACAGTGCTTTGAAATTTAGCAGATGTAGACAGATATAACAAATCTACTAAAATCCCCATATAGAGGATACAGTACGTTGCAGCTAAAAGCTTCCGTGATTCCTTTGGGTAATGCATTACTAGTTCTATGATTCTATGATTCTACTAGCAGTGCAACAGTAAAAAGAAATTTTGGGGAAAAAACCCACACTGAAAACATTTACATAAGCATGTAGAAACTATTTATTTTCATCACATTATAAAAATATATGGTAGCTGCCAGATTTCGTTGTTCAGAGGTTTTTATTTTATATTTCAAACAAAAAAGAAGAACTTTTAAAATGCAAAACAAATATATGAACCCATACCTTTAAAGCTTCAGCCTCTCCAGGTCTTTGATAAAGTCCAATTATCTTTTTCTTTTGCAACCATCTCAAGCCTTCCAATATTTCACCACCTAAAGTTGGTTCCACCAAAATACGCTGTTCATAAGCACCCAGGTATTCTTTTGTCTCATTACTGTACTCTTCTTCACTTTTTTCATGAACACAGACCTGCAGCTGATCATCAGAGTCTCCTCTCATCAAAGTAAAGCTCCTTTCATGGAATTCATCAGTTAGAATTTGCTCAGAAGGAAGATGAAGAGCAAATTCTCCCAACAAAGCTTTCCAGGACCCATCCTCACGGTATGGCAAGACTATAATATTTAGCTGTACTGACACAGGAGTCAGAATGGAATAAGAGTCTTCTTCATCGTTAACTGTCAAAAACTTAACAGATTTTGAGGCACCGGCTTCTTTTTGAATGAGATCTTCATCAGTGCTATCATCATTTATAACAATGAAGGATGCAGAAGAAGTGCTTGGACCTGAAACGTGGTCCTCATTAGTCATTTCATCATCTAATGTTATCACCTCATTTCTCCGGTCTTCATGCATATTCCAGCAGAGCTTTTTCTTCTTCTCCTCATCTATTTTTGATGGAGGCGCACGTTTTCGACGACTACTCATTTTGTCGTCTTCTCAACAGTATTTTCAGTCTCTGCGAGATGAAGTAAATTAGGCATCAATAAGTATTACAAAATCAAATGCCCACACTGAAATTTCACTGTGCAGTAGCTGCTAAACTTGCAAAAGGTTTCGAAACAGACATATGCACTAAGAAATCTAACTGTTCAAAAGAGACTTAGTCTTACAGAGCCTCTCCTGGCCCTGTGCCATCACATAAAGCTGGACATGAGGCATTTGCCTTGTACTATATCTTATCATTTTGCCAGACAGCTACAGACAGAGATCAACAAGAATGCTACATTTCACGGCTGTTACTCAGAATCTTGTGGGACAGATATAAAACAAGCAGCAGTGGAATCCCTCAAAGGCGGGGGTGGAGGGAGACGGCAAAAGAAACTCCACAAACAAAAGTGCAGGAGGTACAGGAGATTCAGGGGCGGGTGTGGAAAAACTACACACACAAAATTCTTCTTTCCTTTCAAAGCCTACATTGAGATGAAACTTTAAGCAAACTTGACACAGGGCTAGTCTGAAGCTGCCATTACATAAAGCATGGTTTAGAGCCTAAGCTATCAAGTTCTGTCCTTAGAAGTCCCTAATGACCTTCCTACTAGTATTGAATACTTTATTTTCCCAGAAAACTCTGCATCCTGGGACATACAAATTGGATGGACATACAAATTGCTTGCACAGGAGCTCTTACTTATTCCATCGTGCATTTCAGTGGGACCAATCAGCAACCTAAATGCATAGTCTTACTGATTTTGACTAACTGGAAAGCTAAGTCAAGATCCATGTCCAACTCCTTGATTGAACCTGGGCAGTGAACAGATTTTGTGGATAAAATGCTAGAAAATAAAGTACACATGCTAAACAATACACAGGAAGAAGCAGATTATGGAATATTAGACCCATCTGAGAAACTAATAACTACATACTCAAAACTACATGCCCATACTTAAATACTCAAACAAGTAGTAACCTTTTTTTTAAAAAAATACTGTTTTTATAAGGAGCCTGAACACAGCAATAGATTTATGACCTCATATTACAGTACTGTCTTTGTCAGCAAAGACAGGAAAATATTTAGATATCCATGTCAATTCAGCTTCTATATACAACTTTTAAAGAAATGTAGGAAGATGAAAGGCAAATATTCTACGCTACTAAATGCAGCATGCCACCACCTAATGTTAAAGAGGTTTATGCTGGAACAGGGCAGAATTCCTAGAATTCTGAATAATTTTAAAAGGGTCTCATGAAAAAAACCAAACAAACCCTGATTTTTATTATTCATGAAGTCAAAAGAAACATTCAGGAATATACAAACTTTGCTGTGTTCGAATTTCAAACACAACAGAATTAAGGAAAGGAAACGTGAGTTTTTCAAAATAATACTCATGCACACAGAGTGTTGCCGACAGTAAATGGAGCAAACCCCAACAGCGAGTACACGTATCATAACACCGCACTTAAACCCAAGAAAGAAGGATTCCTGCATCACCAGGTCTGCAGGCGCACACCAACTTCTGCATCACACTCGGCCGTATAAACCGGAGGGAACCGCTCCGTTTGAGTAGATCTGTTTAAAACTCCTATGGCCAGGAGACGACCGTGTCTACAGCGTGAAGCAACCAACCTGCCACCCGAAGCACGCAGGGAACC